GAGAGCCGCAGCCGGGTATTTCTGGGAGCTTGTTTTCCTCCCTGGGGACGGAGGGAGAGAGGTGCTCCCCTCAAATCCGTGACGGGCCGCGCTGTCCCCGTCTCACCAGGACGCTCCGTGTCCCTTGGGCAGCTCCGAACGCCCCAGCAGCGATGTGGGGCAGGGAACGCCGTGGAGAGCCAGCCCCGTGCCCGGGGAGCCCTCGGGTGCCTGTCCTGGGCTGAAGCAGCCGGGGCTTGCGTGGGTCTGTGGCTTGGGGCTCTGCTCCTCCTCCAGCCCGTCCCCTGGGACCTCTCTTTCCGTAGGGCCACCCGTTTTCCCCAGGGCTCTTCTCTCCAGCTGACGCGGAAGCTCGGAGTAAAGAGCCCAGCAGAGGAATTCCCCTGGCGAGGAAGCAGCCCCAAAGTCGGTGCTGGATGGGCCGTTTGGTGCTGGGATATCCCGGCTGCTGCCTGTCCCGGCCTCCCGGTTGCTCCAGGCTTCCCGGCTTTGCCATGTGCCCATCCCGGCAGCTTGTCCCGTATGGGAGCTGGGGATGCTTCTCCCGGCAGCTCGGGGGATGTTGGGGGTGCCATAACCATCACCCCTGCGCCACCAGGGACCCCGCTGTGACACAGGGGGGCTGTGCCGGGCTCTGCCACCCCCGCCACTTTGTGGTCGCTGAGCTTTGACCTTGGCAGAGGTCAACATGGAGCTGGGTCCTGGGTGGTGGCAAGAGTCTCCGTGTGGAAGGACAAGCAGTGCTGGGGGGGGGGTTCCCATCGCTCCAGACACCTCTTTTCTGCTTAAAAAGTGGGTTTCCCTGTTCCCTTCTTGGCTGGAGAGCGCGTCGCTCCCGTCTCGCTCCGCAGGGCTTTGCTCCCGTGCGTAGGGAATAGCCCTCCGCTCCCGCCCGGCAGCGCCGTCGCCTTATCTGATGGCGTACTGGGATGAGCGAGTCTCTCTGGTTTTGCGCCGAGTGGATTTTCTAGCTTTGCCCGGATTGTTTTGGCCCGTAGAAAGTTGCTCGAGGGCGATGGAAACAGCCACATCCCTTTGATCTTTAATCTCGAGAGGCAGCATGTGGAGATTACGTGTCCCGGCGTGCGGTCCGGAGCTGCACGCTGGGAGCTGTAGTCCTGCCGGGAAGGCTGCCTGCCCGTCGCTGCTGCTAAGCCTGTTTCTTTGCTGCTCAGACCGCTGGTCGCAGGAGGACATGCTGACTCTGCTGGAGTGCATGAAGAATAACCTGCCCTCCAACGACGGGAGCAAGTTCAAAACCACCGAGTCCCACCTGGATTGGGAAAAAGTGGCTTTCAAGGACTTCTCGGGGGAGATGTGCAAGATGAAGTGGATGGAGATTTCTAACGAGGTAACCGACAGCCGCACGGGGCTCGGAGGGGTCTCTGCGAGAGGGACGGAGCAGCCCGGTGACCTCCCAGGGCTGTTCGAATCGCTCCAAGTTCGGCGCCCCGAGCCCTTAGCGCCGACACCGTCCCGCTGCCGTCGGCGTCGCGAGCCCCTCGGAGGCGCTGGGGCGGGTCGTCGGCGCAGTGGCGTTGCGAAACCCCGTGGGTTTGGGCCGTGCCCAGCGTGGGGGATCTGCCTTGTCCCCCCACACGCAGCCTGTTCACCTTTGTGGCCCTCCGTTACCCCGCAGGTGAGGAAATTTCGGACCCTCACGGAGCTCATTATGGACGCCGAAGAGCACGTGAAGAATCCTTACAAGGGCAAAAAGCTCAAGGTATCGCGCAGGAATTGGGATTGGTCCCTAAAGGGGGACCTCCCCCTTCGCCGGGACAGGGGGCTGTCACCCACGGGGCACCCCAGACCCGTGTGGCTTTGCTGCCAGAGCCCCTGCAGGCACCTCACCGCCCCTAATCCCCGGGGCCGCCTGCCCAAGGCTCCGGAGGCCGCGGGCTCTGGGCCCGGGCCAACTCCAGGGCACATTTAATATGGCCGGCTGTGTTGCTGGCATCCCAGTTTAGCACGGCGGGATGGGGGGGGAACG